AGACACAGGGAGGGTTCCATGTTGGTCTACAATTTTGGCGCAAATTTTTAGTGATGGGGAAGATTATCTGTGGTGATGGTGCTAATAACCGTCATCCTTAGTATTCCTCCTCAGCCCTGCTGTGGAGTCTAAATTGATAGACGTTGCTCATGATGACATTGCTGTAGTGAATTAGTGTTGTTGCCCTGAGAAAAGGACTAGCTGGGGCACCAGGTATTTCTAATAAAAATAGGAGTGCAAGATAAGGAAAATTATGTTCCATGTAAAGCACAGTTGTAATGGCAGGTCTTGGCTTGGGCTGCAGTTGAGGATACAAATATGTTTTTTTTTATTTTTTTATTAAAATAACAAACATGTTATATACACCTGTGGTATTGCACAGAGCAGCACTGATCCTCCTCTTCTAGGGTCCCCCTTTGCGATCTTGGCATCTCTTCTTTGTGTGTTCCCATAGCAAGCCACTTGCTATGGAGGCAGATGGTGTCTGCTCACTCCTGAGTGTCTGCTCACAACAGGACTGAGCCCCGCCTTCCCCAAGTCCTCCTCACTACATTTGATTAACAGCAGCAAGAGCCAATGTCTCCTGCTGCTGTGCGAGTACCTGTGTGAAGAGGAAGCGAGGGGAGAAGAGATGCAGCCGTACCCAGCACACAGAATGCATTAAGGTGAGAAGCGGTTTTAGCTTTAATATCACTTTAACCCCTTCATGACAAGTGTAAAACTAATCCTAATGCCTGAACATACTTGCAACTTTGACATGTTCGTAAAACTGTACATATCATTACAACTACGTAGTGTAGCCAAATGAATTATACCTTCTGTTTTTCAGGACAGATTGGGCTTTCATTTGGTGGTTAATGGGAATGGATATCTCCTGTTTATTTTTATTATGTAAGGGAAATTAGAATTAAAATTTTTTTTTTAAATGTAGCTGTATATTTCTTGCTATTACCATAACCTCCCAACAAAGAACAACTCAAAATAAATTCTCTTGGTCCTGACGATTGCAGCAATACCATATATGTGTATGTTTTTTGTCTTAGGCAGGATAAAAAGAAAAGCAAAATTTGCACTATTGTTTCTGGTCCCTGCTATGGGTACAAACAACACACTGGGGTTGATTTACTAAAACTGGAATGGGAAACATTTAATGCAACCCTACATAGAAATTATAGAAGCTGGTTGGCTAACATGCACAGCTACACCATATTTCTAGTTTTAAAGTGCCCATGCACCAGACAAAAAATAATTTGAAAGTCTGGCTTTTGGACAGTTCCTTTTTTGTCCAGTTAATGGGCACAGATCAAAAATTGGTAGTGACATTTTTTTGAGCCAAAATATTGAAGGAAAAGTTTAGAAAACTTCTACCGCAAGGACAAAAAACTGAAGGGTTAATATGTTTGTACTGCGCATATGTGACCTAGAAGCAAATAGCAAATTAAAAATTGATTCATTTATGTCCATTGAATGATTTATTGTTCAAAATTCGGTCATTAATATGGTGGCAATATCATTTACTCTTACAACCATGTGTTTGTTTTTCTAAAACGCGGTTTAATGATTTTTCGACTAGTGAATGGCTAGCATTTGTAAATCAACCCCACTGATGCTAATTTTAAAAATAGTTTATTTAATTCTACCTAAAATTTCCTGATCTTTGACTCAGACCATGACCTTTGACCCTAACTTTGGGCCTGACCTAGATCAAATCCTGATATAGTTTTTTTTTTTTTTTTTTTTTTAATTTCTACACACACTTTATATGCATTTTTCTCCTTTAGCAAGGATAAGATACAGTGTATGTTTTTCTCCATTCTGACATCAACTGAATGCACGCTTGTGTCATTTTACCTTTTGTAAATGAGTTCACTTTTGAACCTTATATGATAGTCAGAAGAAAGAGAAATCTCAAGTGAATGTTTGCTTGTTTAGCTAAGAAAGATCCCTTGTACGAAAAACCAACGTTTTCAAAACAGAAAATCTGCAGAACTGGAATATTTTAGCAGCATTCCGCTGGACAAACTGTTCTTTTTTTTGTTCTTCAGTTTTCCATCATAGCATAATTAAATGAATATATATATATATATTTATGTGTGTGTGTGTGTGTGTGTGTGTGTGTGTGTGTGTGTGTGTGTGTGTGTGTGTATATATATATATATATATACACACACACAGTTGCAAGAAAAAGTATGTGAACCCCTTGAGATTACGTGGAGTTTTGCATTAATTGGGCATAAAATGTGCTCTGAACGTCATGTAAGTCACAACAATAGAAGAACACAGTCTGCTGAACAAAATACTACACAAACATTAGATGTTGCCATGGTTTAATTGCACATAAGATGTAAACATTCACAGTACAGGGAGGAAAAAGTATGTGAACCTTTGGACTTAATAACTGGTTGACCCTCCTTTGGCAGCAATAACCTCAACCAAACGTTTCCTGTAGTTGCAGATCAGACCTGCACAACGATCTGGAGTAATTTTGGACCACTCCTCTTCACAAAACTGTTTCAGTGTAGCAGTATTCTTGGGATGTCTGGTGTGAATCGCTCTATTAAGGTCATGCCACAGCATTTCAATCGAGTTGAGGTCAGGACTCTGACTGGGCCACGCATACTCTGTGCTGTTGCAGCCATTGTTTTGTTGAATTACTTGTATGCTTTGGGTCATTGTCCTGTTGCATCACCCATCCTCTGCGGAGCTTCAGTTGGCAGACAGATGGTCGTACGTTTTCCTGCAAAATGTCTTGATAAACTCTGGAATTCATTTTCCCATCAATGACAACAATCCATCCAGGCTCTGAGGCAGCAAAGCAGCCCCAAACCATGATGCTCCCTCCGCCATGTTTTACAGTGGGGATGGGGTTTTGATGTTGGTGTGCTGTGCCTTTTTTTTCTCCACACATAGTGTTGTGTGTTCTTCCGGAACAACTCAATCTTGGTTTCATCTGTCCACAGTATATTTTGCCAGTAGTGCTGTGGAACATCCAGGTGCTCTTTTGCAAACTTCAAATGTGCTGCAATATTCTTTTTGGACAGCAATGGCTTCCTCCGTGGTGTCCTCCCATGTACTCCATTCTTGTTTAATGTTTTCCTTATTGTAGATGTGTCAACAAAAATGTTAGCATGTGCCAGAGATTTCTGTAGGTCTTTAGCTGACACTCTGGGATTCTTCTTTAGCTCATGCAGCATTCTGCGCTGTGCTCTTGCAGTCATTTTTACAGGATGACCACGCCTAGGGAGAGTAGCAACAGTGCTAAACTTTCTCCATTTGTAGACAGTCTGTCTTACCGTGGACACATGAACATCAAGGCTTTTGGAGATACTTTTGTAACCCTTTCCAGCTTCATGCAAGTCAACAATTCTTGATCGTAGGTCTTCTGAGAGCTCTTTTCTGCGAGGCATGGTTCACATCAGACTGTGCTTCTTGAAACCAGTAAACCCAAAACAGGTGTGTGTTTTTTAAGGGCAAGACAGCTGTCAGCAACACATCCAATATCGTCACACTGATTGGAGTCAAAGTTGGCTCACTCCTGGCTCCAATTAGCTCTGGGAGAAGTCATTAAGCTAGGGCCTCACATACTTTTTCCTCCCTGCACTGTGAATGTTTACATGTTATGTGCAATTAAACCATGGCAACATCTAATGTTTGTGTAGTATTATGTTCAGCAGACTGTGTTCTTCTATTGTTGTGACTTACATGACGTTCAGAGCACATTTTATGCCCAATTCATGCAAAACTCCACGTAATCCCAAGGGGTTCACATACTTTTTCTTGGAACTGTATGTGTGTGTGTGTGTGTGTGTGTGTATATGTGTGTATATATATATATATATATATATATATATATATATATATATATATATATATATATATATATATAGTGGGAACTCGCTTCAACGTGGTAGAGCTTTTAAATGCAAACAGCTACTCGCTTTCTTTTTCAGGGCCTTTTTAGCCCACTTTTATTTAAATGAAAGTTCAAACATAATGCTTCCCACGCAGGGGTATCCACCAACAAAACAAAGATTCAGCCTCCTGGCTTACACACAGTTCAATGTCAGTCTCCTGCAGACTCTTCCCAAATTATAGCCACTAGCACACAGCTAGTCTGGCTTCCACCTGACTCCAAGGCAGAGACCTCCCGTCTGCCGGGGTGGAGCCCTGCTGCTGACTCCTAGCTGCCGGGGTGGAGCCCTGCTGACTCCTAGCTGCCGGGGTGGAGCCCTGCTGACTCCTAGCTGCCGGGGTGGAGCCCTGCTGACTCCTAGCTGCCGGGGTGGAGCCCTGCTGAGCTCCCTGCTGACTCCTAGCTGCCGGGGTGGAGCCCTGCTGACTCCTAGCTGCCGGGGGGTGGAGCCCTGCTGACTCCTAGCTGCCGGGGTGGAGCCCTGCTGACTCCTAGCTGCCGGGGTGGAGCCCTGCTGACTCCTAGCTGCCGGGGTGGAGCCCTGCTGACTCCTAGCTGCCGGGGTGGAGCCCAGCTGACTCCTAGCTGCCGGGGTGGAGCCCAGAACTCTGATCCTGACTCTATGAAGAGGCCTGGAGCCCACAACTCTGATCCTGACTCTATGAAGAGGCCTGCACACACCTGTGCAATCAGTCTCCTGGCCATTCCCAAAACCTGGTCCCAGGATTGGAGATTTCATCCCTCCCAGATCTCTTTGAAATCTCCAGGCTCCAGATCCCAAAACAGACCTTACAAACAAAGGAGGAAAGTGAAACGCCACTTTCCTCCATATCAAACCTTTACCCTGGAGCCCCTCAACCTGCCTTGTCGAGAATCCAGGGTGACAGATCGCCACACTGTCACTATATATATATATATATATATATATATATATATATATATATATATGCACATTTACTGTACCTAGAAACAACATCGCAATACTAACTTACTAACTGGACTATTTGCTTGTGTATGTTCCAAACAATTCATGTTCAGTTCTTTTTGTACTATAGTGTGATCTGAGAATTTTTTGGTCTTTTCTTCCAGTATCAGGTGGGCCAGCTGTACTCCGTAGCAGAAGCCAGCAAAAATGAAACAGGAGGAGGTGAAGGTGTTGAAGTACTTGTAAATGAGCCTTACGAGAAGGAAGGGGAGAAAGGGCAGTATACACACAAGATCTACCATCTACAGAGGTAATTTAAGTCTTCATTTGATTTCTTCTAGACAGCACAGTACAATGTAGTTACAAATGCATTTACATACTGTGTTTTGTAGTTTTTATTTCTCTTTGGTGGATATCTTGGTTGTAGGATTAGTTGTAATGTTTAGTGTCACCTCTGGGGAAGGGGGGGAAGGGGGAGAGGCGTTCTGACCTCTGCGCTTTTGGCATATTTTAATAAACCCATAACTACAACAATAGCATGTGGAAGGCTCTGAATCATTGTTTAAATCAGTGTTTCCTCAACCGTTTTCTAGTCAAATGACCCTTTAAAATTCTGCACAATCTTGAGGCACCTTGTTCCTAAATGTAAAAAAAAAAATATAAAAATGAAACTAATAATTAACTTATCGCCATATCATCCACACACTTAGGACACCCAACGTTAGAAGAGATTTGTTATTACAAAGCAAATACACTTTTGCACACTAGTACTTACTATAATTTCTTCTCCCTCGTGTTCTCCCTCCCCCAAACAGCTAATGTGACCTCAGTGCTGACAGAGAGGGGCAGGGGGTTAAGCAAGGATGTGACATCCCACCCCACCTTCCCCAACAGCTGCTTTCTGCCTGTCACCTACTGCTTGCTGTCCCTCCACATCCCCTGCTGCACTGGCCACTAAATTGCCCCCAACCCCCTTACTGTACACCTTACTTTCCCCCCCTCCCCACCGGTCCCTGACAGCCCCATCCATGCAGCTCTGCTAGCCGGCTCTTCCTCCACCCCCTCTTGATGGCTGCTGCAACTGCTGCCTGGGAGATCGGTCATTGTCAGCATGGAGAGCGGGGGAGCCCTCTTTCTTTCCTGAATGAAAACAGCAATCGGTACCGATCGCTTCTGTTCATTCATTATGAGAAGTATAGTAAACAGAGTGTTTACTACACTTCAGTTCGTGACTGGATAGGTGGCTCTACAGACTCCTATCTCATTCACCTCCTATGCAGATGAAGCTGCAGAGAAAGGGACTGTCTTCAGTCCCTTTTTTTTGTCTCAAAAAAGAGACATTAGGGGGTTTATTTACTAAAGCTGGAGAGTGCAAAATCAGACTCACTTCTGCATAGAAACCAATCGGCTTCCAGGTTTCATTGCCAAAGCTTCATTGAACAAGCTGAGGTTAGAAGCTGATTGGTTTCTCTGCAGAAGGGAGTCTGATTTTGGACTCTCCAGCTTTAGTAAATAAACCCCTAGGGGTCTGTTTAGACCCCTGATGTCTCTCAGAAGCCCCCCTCAAAATATGTAAAAATATTTTAAAATAAAATTTCCTTTAAAAATAAAAACATAGTAAGGTCTCATTCACATTCAATCCCTCCATTTTACGGCAGATGTAAATGGACGTGTCTGTTTAAACCTACCTTCCTCCGATCCACTATAACCAGTCTGTTCCCCATTCCCCAGATAGAATGGCAGTCAGGTGTTCCGTTTACATCCAACCAGCCATAGAAGAGACCAGGTTGTGTCTTTGTTTGCTCTGCATAAGTAGAGTGGACACGGACCAGCCATCCGCTTGCTCAGTAGAAATCAGCAGACCCGATTACCCGCCGAGCAAATGAACTCCTGGCGGAGTCCACCCTGTGTGGCAGGGGCCTAATGGTAAATTTAGAGCCTGCTGCACATTCAGATGACACTCCGGAGGCTACTGACAGGCAGCGAGGAAGCAATGTGCTGCTTCCTCACCACCTGTTTTAACCCCATTTTTGCCGACCAATGCACCGCAACAACGTATTACACATGGTTGCAGACATTTGCGATTCCCTATGGACTTGAATGTGTAGCAATTGGCGGGCGGCAGCGCTACATGTTGGGTCAACTTTATAGCGGGTGCAAAGCGAAGCATTGCAGCCGCAGCTTGCAAACACCCCCGTCCACTGCTTATTGCGCTGCATTACTTCTTCTGACAATTGCGCAGTCACGCAACGCTGCACCCAAATGACATTTACGTCCTTTTTTTTTTCCCAAGAATTGAGCTTTCTTTCGGTGGTATTTGATCGCCTGTGCGTTTTTTTGTTTTGTTTTTTTTTTGCGCTATTAAAAAAAAAAGACCGACAATTTTGAGAAAAAAAAAACACAATATTTTTGATTTTTTTTGCTATTTAAACATGTCCAGTAACAAAATTTAAAAATATAATTTCGTCATACATTTATGCCAAAATGTATTCTGCTACATCTTTGCCACAAAAAAAAAAATCTCAATACATGTAAATTAATTGGTTTACTTGAAAGTTATAGCGTTTACAAATGGCGGTGTATATATACTGGGTTTTTTTTTTGTTTTTTTTTTTTTAATTTTTACTAGTAATGGTGGCGATCAGCAACTTATAGCGGGACTGCGATGGACATTCTGACACTGGGGGGGAACTGACTTGGTGTCACTGACATCCCCAGTGACACCAATACAGTGATCAGTGCTAATAAAAAGCACTGACACTGTACTAATGGCACTGGTCATGAAGGAGTTAACATCTGGGGCGATCAAAGGGTTAACTGTGTGCTGTTTTACATGATGTTCTGTGCTTGTGCTTCACTGTAAACACACTGCTTTGCATGTCTCTGCAGGAGCTGACAGGGAGGAGAACTGATTTGTTTGCTAACAGTTCCTTGTGCGCGCCCCTTACCCGGGGAATGCAAAATCGTGTATATATACGTGATTTTGCACACAGCTACCGCCCTGTAGCAGTATTTCTGCTACTGGACGGAGCTGAAGAAGTTAATACTTTTACCTACAGTTAAGCTTATAATAAAGCTTACCCGTAGGGGTAAAATGAATATCTCCTAAACTTGCACCGTTTAGGAGATATTAACTCTTTTTGTTAGCCAGCGCATGCTCTCTGAAGGAACTGCATACCCGTGCCATTCATTCAGATGTGTGGGACTCCCACACACATGCAAGGGAGTGCAGTCATCGCAGCTTAGCCAGTCAGACCTGGAAGGAAGACCGGATGAAGATTGAAGCCCTGTCAGCGGTGACAGTGCACCACTGCAGGGCTTTGTTTTAAGGCAAGTCCTTCATAATGTGCTAGTATGGGATGCATATTAGCACATTATGACATTACCTGGCAGGGGATTTTTTAAATTAATTATTTATTTTACCTGCGGTTTACTACCGCTTTAAGGGGGGATGGTTGGTGGAGAGCAGAAACGCAGCTCAACAGCACATTTTTGCTGCCCAAGTTTAACAAGGCCTAAAGCCTAAGGCCTCAGGCCTCATTCACAAAGGGAATACTACAGTGAGTCTGTGTTTAGCTACACAGGGATGCACTGGTTTTCCATTCATGACAGTTGGGACGTAGCAGCAGCATGAATACAGCCACTGCTCCCAACTTAACATCAGTGTGGGTGCATGTCCCTGAACTCACACTGTCCGAGTTTTGGGCCATGCACCTACACCCACATGGATGTCAGATCTGTCCTTGCATCCCAATTGGCATCAATGGGACTGCCTGCACAGGGATGCACAGAACACCTGGGTAAACACTGCCCTCCATTGGCATACCCTGTAGTACACCCCATGTGAACGAGGCCTTAGTAGGAATTTAGCAGTTTTGTAAGTTATGTTGTGTTTATGTGTGGTAATAAGAATTTTTTTTTTCTTTTCAGTAAAATAGCAATTTAGTAAACATTTGCAATGCACAGCTACTGTGAGGCCTAAAATATTAGTAGCACCATCTTTGTATTCTACTGGTCTCCTAGATTGTAAGCTCCAAGGAGCAGGGCCCTCCTATCCCTCTTGTATTGAACTGTATTGTTGCTGTATTGTCTCCCTTTATTTTGTAAAGCGCTGAGCAAACTGTTGGCACTATATAAATCCAGTATAATAATACTGGTCATGTGCTTTCAGAAAATACATGGCTTGGGGGGTCTTTTACAAACTCTGAAAGCTGTAAGTGAAAAATGGAAGCCTCCAGATTTCTAGAGAAATTTGGTTATTTACAGTTTTGCGTCCGTTCGATTTTCTCCATTTTGCAAAAAGGTGCAATTTAAAATTTACAAATATTTGTTATTTATTAACCCAATACAGGTTAAACTTTTATATTTAGTAGGAATTTAGCAGGGAATTGTAAAATTTGTGTCTGCTAATAATGATTTTAGTACATTTTTAGCAAGTATATTGTTTTGAGAAACATTTGTGCAAATATCATGGGGTGGTGCTCTAAAAATCAGTAGCACCTTCTTTTTATTCTACCAGTCATGTGCTTTCAGAAAATATATATGGTTTGGGGGGTCTTTTACAAACTCTGAAAGCTGTAACTGAAAATAAAAAAAAGCAATGGAAAAATTGCAAAAATGGTCTGGCTACCTGAGTTTAAAAGTGGAGCGCGGGGCCTGGCAGCAAAAGGGTTAGTACATAGATCTGCACACCGCTCCATATTTGTAGTCAAAGCCATGTCTACTGGTTTAAAATAAAAATATACTGTATGTGTGAAAATATATATATATATATATATATATATAATTAGATCCACAATAACATAAGTGGATGTACAGTGGGGATTGAAAGCTTGGGCACCCCAGCTAAAAATTTGTATTAATGTGCATAAAGAAGCCAAGGAAAGATGGAAAAATCTCCAAAAGGCATCAAATTACAGATTAGACATTCTTATAATATGTCAACAAAAGTTAGATTTTATTTCCATCATTTACACTTTCAAAATAACAGAAAACAAAAAAATGGCGTCTGCAAAAGTTTGGGCACCCTGCAGAGTTAATATCTTGTACTGCTCCCTTTGGCAAGTATCACAGCTTGTAAACACTTTTTGTAGCCAGCCAAGAGTCTTTCAATTCTTGTTTGAGGTATCTTTGCCCATTCTTCCTTACAAAAGTCTTCCAGTTCTTTGAGATTTCTGGGCTGTCTGTCACGCACTGCTCTTTTAAGGTCTATCCATAGATTTTCAATTATGTTGAGGTCAGGAGATTGTGAAGGCCATGACAAAACCTTCAGTTTACGCCTCTTGATGTAATCCCCTGTGGATTTCGAGGTGTGTTTAGGATCATTATCCATTTGTAGAAGCCATCCTCTCTTTAACTTCAGCTTTTTCTAAGATGGCATCAAGTTACCATCCAAAATTTGCTGAAATTTTATTGAATCCATTTTTCCTTCTACTTTGGAGAGATCTGAAAATGACTATGCACCGATGCTCTCCATCCAACCTGATGGAGCTTGAGAGGTACTGCAAAGAATGGGAGAAATTGCCCAAAAATAGGTGCCAAGCTTGTAGCATCATACTCAAAACGACTTGAGGCTGTTATTGCTGCTAAAGGTGCTTCAACAAAGTGTTTTTAATAAATTGCAAAGATTTCAAAACTAATTTTCTTTCACGTTGTCATTATGGAATAGTGTTTGTAGAATGTTGAGGAAAAAAAAATGTATTTAATCCATTTTGGAATAAGGCTGTAACATAACAAAATGTGGCAAAAGTTAAGTGCTGTGAATACTTTCAGGATGCACTGTATATATATTAATTACATACTGAGAAGAAGACAAAAGGACTGCTCTACTGATAATCTAATATTTCGGGGTTGTATTGGCATTTGTGAGGTGATTTACTTATTTCTTTTATTTATTACAGGTACTTGTATAGCGCCATCAATTTATGCAGCACTTTACATGTATATTGTACATTCACATCAGTCCCTAACCCTCAAGGGGCGTAGAATCTAAGGTCCCTAACTTACAATCATACATACACATAATAGGGCCAATTTAGACCGGAGCCAATTAACTTACCAGTATGTCTTTGGAGTTAAGAACTGTTATCTCCTTTGAAGATCACATTGAAAATTATTTCACTAGGCTGTAGTTTTCCCCATGCCACAAAACCGTAATGTAGCTTGGCCCTCAACTCCTTTTTTTTTTTTTTTTTTATATGCCTCATCGTTTAGCAGTGCAATGTAATGCCTACAGACACTGAGCAGTACCTCACCGCTTAATAGGGTTAATGTTAATTTCCTCACATTGTATTAGTTGTTGAGTTTTCAGTTTGTCAATGGTTTGTACAAGGAGAGACAGGCTGCAGTCCTTCTTTTGTTTTTTTTTTTTATGAAATGCACCTGGACTGATTTCAGGAGGTTATTCAGACATGCTCCACTAAGCCTTTATATGAATTTAGTACTGTATATTCATTAATCTAACATTTCTCAATTAGATATGCATTTGCTGCCTCAAGTGCATCTAAACAGATAAATATAAATAAGTTAATAAATATAATACATAATGTTTCTTCTTTTTCTGTTTTTGCTTACAAGCTCTAATAGGTTGCACAATTGTTCTGCCAGTTTAAATGTCCTATGATTTGTGAAAGTATCTTGGGCATCCTTCTAGATGTGCAAGCACTGAGCTTTCCAGTCTCCAGCATAGATAAACAAAGATCAAGCAGAGAAATGCTAAGGATATTTCCCTGCCAACACCAGACCTGCAGGTGATCTAGCAGTCTCTTTCCCTTCGCTTAGGTTTTTAGTTGCTATTCATGCAGTATTTTCGGTTGCCTTTCACTGCATTTGCGGATCTGCATAGTTCTGATCTGTGCTATAGAAATTTTAATTTTAGGACTGAACTGCAGTGTTTGGTCAAAAAAATTGCACTCTTTAAATCACTCAGTAACATATTTATGAAAACACTCATGTGAATGACATGACCTTAAATTAGTTTTGGAGTTTAGAAGAGAAAGTGTTCCTTCTTGTTAGCACATTAGCTAAAAGACTCCAGTCTTATTCTGGCCTTGGGCATACCACCTTGCCATTCTGGGTGGAAGTGGCTAATCTCCAGATTACAAAGACTTCATGTGTGATAAGGTTCATATTATCAAGAGTCAATTACCCCCTATTACCTACTGTAACAATCAATATGCTTTTTTAAATAGAAGCAGTAATGGAGCACACCCTGAGCTTTTATTTCCCAGGTTGATTGCCAGAGCCTTAAATTCTTTCTAGATGAACTGGAGTCCTTGACTTGATGAAGCAAAGCCTGTGCTGGTCACCTAAACCGCTACAGTTTTAAGCAATTTGAAAATGATGATTTTTTTTTTTTTTCAAGATATGTTTATTGTGTTTTAGCAAAACATTTAAAGAAAATATAACCCAATACATAAAATTTAAAGCAAAACAATAAGCAAGCCATCTCAGTGTCTCACATCCCTTATTAGATTGCCAATGTAGAAATCACTAGGAAAGCACATAACAGATGATGTGCACTCCACCATAAATTATACAACGACCATGAACATGGAAAGATTACATCAATATGTTGGATCTAAAGAGGACAAAGTAATAGGATTAGAAAGCCATCTTCTCCATATTTTATGAAATACTTTGGGTTTTTTCCTAAGCTGAAAAGTGAGTTTATAAAAGGGGAGGGAGTCATTAACAAGTTTAGGCCAGTAGGCTAATGTAGGTAAAATTGACCCTTTCCAGAACAATACAAGTATTTTCTTAGCATAAAAGTACAATATGTGTAAAAATCTCTTGACATATTGAGAACGTGCCAGGTCTCAATGACCTTAAACCTAGTTGCGTTTTTTTTTCAGTGTTATTGGAATTGTTAGTATAGCCAATGTACTGTATGATCATACATTTACCATTTACATGATTTCACTGCTTTTTAGAGAATTTATTGTAGATATTGTGTATCCTTTGTAGTTCAAATGTTAGGACAGCTTAACATGCTCCTAGCAAACTGTGTGTTTATTCCAACGTTGCTTGCTTAGGAAAGTTTACACCACATAAATGTTCTGTTTTCTTAAATGTACTTAAGAGTACAGCTTCAGACCTAATTTTTCAGTCTGTGTTAATGAAACCTTTTCATTCTTTGTTTTGTGTACAGCAAAGTCCCAACATTTGTACGGATGCTGGCGCCTGAAGGAGCACTAAATATGCACGAAAAGGCCTGGAATGCTTACCCTTACTGCCGAACCAGTGAGTAGAAAGGCGATAGTCATATGAATGCCTTTCCTGTCTCTTACGAACAATATGGTCTGTGGCAGCACAATCTGACTGTGCAGCTTCTCTGCTCTAGTTGTGACTTTGTTACCTAATCTGCATGTGCTTCTCACTTGCACTGCTCTTTTTTCATGAATAATTCAGACCATTTTGACAGGCATCTTGTTACCAAAAGTTGGGAGAGGGCTAAAAAGATGCTAACTTGGCACCAACATGCTGTATTTGTCTCCCTGAGGATATCTCCTTGCATGGTGGCGTCCCCTGACCTACTCTGTTTAAAATGAAACAGTTTTCAGTTTTATCTGGATTTAAACGCGGGGTTCTGACCTTCTAGAGAAAAAGCAATTAGTACTTGGCTTTATTGTACATGCTTAAAATCACATTAGATATAATTGGTGTCCTGCTGTGGATCAGCAATAAAACGCAAAGTATATAAAACAGTAAATAAGTATTGAATATATTCAGTGTGATATTAATATTAGTAATTTTTTTTCTTTTTTTTTCCATGTTGCACCGATCAGTAATTACAGTAAGTATTGGTTTTTATTTCTTAATAAATTGTGATCAAGGCAGATCTAAAGTTTAAAAAAAACTGGACCAAGTGGTCCTGTTTTTATTTAGAGTACTGAGATATATTATGGTATTTTTTTTCTTTTTAGGGGCCCCCAAATGGGTTATGCTATAATGCGCTAGTATGCACAGCATATTAGCACATTTTGACTGACTTGCTTGTCAAACTGAGCCCTCCAGCGCTACGGTGTGATCGATCCGGGTAGCCCCTGGCAATTCTGTCTTCGCCCATTCTTTCTTCTGGGTTGCATGCCTTCGTCTGTTTGAATGGCCAGGCCACGCTGACATAACTTTCACACTTGCGCACAGGAGTTGTATTGCACGGGTTGGGACCGCTGAGCTGTGTATGTGCAGATCAGGTACATGATGGCTGAGAGGCAAGAGGAAGCATTTATGAAAATAGAGACCAATAGGGTCTCTTCTGTCATAAATACCCCGCCTGTCAGCTATTTTTGAAAAATGTAAGTTTAACACCTCTTTAAGTGTAACTTTAGTCTTAAGTCTTAGTTTTTAAACTAAAGTTCAGTTGGATCCTTTGTATTTGGCTGCTTCCCTTGGGGGGGGGGGGGGGGAAGCTCTGCTATGTTCTGCTTGGTAGTTTAGATGCTAGTTCTCTATTAGATTAGCATTCTTCTCTCTGAGGTACCACACTGAGGAGTTTTGAATGTTGAATTGATGAACTAAGGTCACTTCAGACAATCCTGCAAGAAGCCTGAAAGTGAATGGACCACACTGAACTCTGTGAACAATGGACTGGACTGGTTTGGCTTGTTTGAAAGGGTAAACTGGCTGAAGTAAAGATGTATTTGGCTTCCTAGGAGATGGATAGATAGAATTACTAAAACTGGTTAAACATCAATTACAAAGTCAGGTGAAATCAACAGATTATGGTATTCTTTACTTTTCGAGTTATAAGAATTTTACATCAATACCTGTTTTTCTGATGGTAGCAGCAGAAAGTGCATTACAGTAATTCTCATAAAACTTCACAGTTCAGGTACTTGTGGATATTGATACCTTAGATATCAGTGGAAATGGAGAGGACGTTCTTTTTCCAAGCATTGTATTTTAGGCCATCGGGGCAAAAAAAGCTTCTAAAAATTCTTTTTTTTTTTAACTCCTGTATTCACTGCAAATTTAGAGGTAGGTTTTTAGTGACTTGGGAAGTATTTTTCGTGTCTGGTATATACATGAGCACTTGCCAGATAGAGATAGGGGAACCTCCTATATGATGTTAGCCAAGTTTTTTAGTTTGCAGTAATCTGAAAACGACTCAAAAGTTAAGGTGTATTCAAAGTTCCTGTGTTCACAAACCTGCCTCTGGAAGTGGGGGAGAGAAAATCTTACATAAGATACTTTATTTTTCAAAATGGAACTTTAGTCAGACAAGTAAGTGTTTGCAAAAGATTAAAAATAAGTGCCTATACTGTTTAAAATCCAAAAATACACTGTCTCCCTGCGATGCACATGCTCAGTTGCTCACTATTTTTAGGCACTGTGCCAAAATTGTAGAAGCTGATCTGTTGACAGCTCAAAGATTTAATGCTGGTCAGGGGCTATGGGCTTCAGCAAAATGGCAGCTCCCAGCAAAAAGAAACCAGAACAATGCTGGGGGTAATTTACAGCACTCACTAATTTTGGAAGCATAATTATTAACGTTTACTGTGTGTTTTCTGCTATGAACATTATTTTTTTTATCATGTTAAGGATAAAGTTCCACTTTAACTGCCAAGTAGTACTCAACAAAAGAGTTGGAAATTCTTATGATGGCATTTGAAGTTCCACGGTTGCAACTGCTGTCACAGCCAACTGTGTGACCTTTTAATTTGTGTTCCACCACACTGTGTAGTCGGCTATTCATGCAGTGGATCCAGAGCTGTTTCTCTGTTACATTTTAGTGCTGGTTTTATTGCAGACAGAATACTTTCCCTTGGGAACATTTGTTGATGGCTCACTGGGGAATGTATTAATAGCTTTGTACCTCCCTCAGTTGCAATTATCTCATGAATCAGTGCCTGCACTGCTAAATGTATTTTACATTGGGTTCGGACCTCAGGCTTGTGCACAATTCTTTAAAAAATGGATAATTAATATTCACTTAATTGTGCATGGTTGTGAAAATAATTTACTGATTCTCATGAAACTAGGTATAATTTTATCACATCATCTTCTCTCTCCATTGCTTAGTGTATTCACTTGATGCTCTTTGTGCTGCATATTTTAATATTATTACGATGTGGTTAATACAACTAACACATTTAATTGCTAATTAAAGTGCACTGTAAAATTAGTGAAGATGGCTCAGTAAGAGGTAACTACATTATGACATATGCTTACATTTCAGAATGAATACATGAAGGACGATTTTTTGATTAAGATTGAGACGTGGCACAAGCCAGATCTTGGCATGCAAGACAATGTAAGTGGCACGCACAAAGCCTCTTCATTATTATCGCTAATGCCATGGGAATTTTTCTAATCACTATGTGTTAGATGTATTTTCAGAATGTTGTAAGATCTTGAACATAGTCTGCTAGTCTGTACTTTTTGAAGGGAAAGTTTATTTATTTTAGAGGATTTTTAGGTATATACTGTATGTTAATATAATTGCCATATGGTTATGGGGCAAAATAAAAGTATTTGGTACACCTTTCTAAATTTTGCTCACTTAGATATATGTTGTCGTCTTAAAAATCCTGTAATTACAGAATAATACCTGTTGCCAGATTTGTGAGCTTGATACTTCTTTTGCTGTCTGTCTTTGCTGCATTAAAATCCCAAGCAGGGTTATTTTAGCCCTGACCGCTTCTCCTCTGGGAACTACAAAATACCTCTCCTTTTATGTTATGGAGGTGAAGAGAGAAGGTATTCTGATGCAGGGATGTTGAATTCATATCGCCCGATGCCTGGGACATGTAGTTCCGGGCGCCGGGCAGGTATTTTTCTTAAACCTTCATCCCTGCTGCGGGTAAGCAGCAGGGCTCACCTGTCAGGTGGAAGCATTCGGGCGGCAGTGCTGCCGCCGATTGCTTCCACACAGTGCCAGCCTCTCCACCCCCCTGTGTTTTCCCCCGCCCACTATCCCCCAGGCTCCGCTTGCCCATCTGCGGGCCTGGGAAGGCTCACTGCCGTCAGCTAGAGTGGAGGGAGGAGAGCGAACACGTCCACTCTCCTTCTTGTCCTGATCCAGAAGTGACGTTATAATGTCACTTCCCGGTCCCCGTTGAGAGAAAGAATGTAATGCAGTGCACTGTGCAATGCATTACATTCAGTGTAGTAGTACAGAGAAGACATCCAGGGTCTTTTAAACCTTGCATGTCTCAATAAAGAGAACCTGTCACCAAAAATGATCACATAGGGGACATGAAGTAAAAAAAAAAAATTTTTTCTTTTAATTGTAACTAATGATAGTTACACTCAAGCACATAAGATGCCCCCCACCCACTTATATACGCATGTACAAATGTAAAAGCACACGCTGGGGCGCCTACTCATGAAAACATTGATTGCAATACACATGTTGCATATCACATGCGCTAGGATGAGAGGTATAAGTCTAGCACCAGATCTCCTCTGTAAAACTATGCTGGTGACCTATAAGGTGCTTTAAAGCATCACCTATAGAATATAGAGGGTACTGAAGGTCGTCGCCATTTCACAAGCACACGCAAATTTAAGCTTTCACTTGTTGGTAATCTATTCTTTTTTTTTGTGCCCTAAAATTAACTAACTTGTAATTTTACTGAAATTTTGCAGTAATATCATGCGACATAAAAAATTGGAACTATCACTATTTTATTCTCTAGGGTCTCTGATTTCAGAAAATATATCATGTTTGGGGGTTTTATGTAATCTTCAGGCCTAAAATGATTATTTTAATCTTGTGCAAAAAAACACAAAGGCCCTGGCAGCGAAAGGGATAAAGGATAAGCTTGATACTCCCCTTTCCTGACGAGCACCCAATCAGTGCTCATTACACTGCAAGGTCTCTCCCCTCTGCTAGTCCCCGGGTGCGTTGCTGAAGACTGGGGAGGTGAGGAAGAGATGAACAGCGCAATGTTAAAAATGTTACACATTTAAGTTGCCTTTTGTTTTTAAAATAGTCCTAAAATCACCTCTGATTTAAATACGGTTTTGGTTCAAATGTATTTATTTTTTATCTGGATAAGTAGATTGTTATGAAGGACAAGTAGATTGAGGGCACTGATTTAGTCCCTGGACAAGTAGTTTTTTCAAAAATTTCCACACCCCTGTGATGTCCTAACATATTTCCTTCCTAGAGTAACAACGTTTTTCCATAGATACAATACTGTGAGTGGTCACCCTAGAACAGGAAGTACGTACTGTCTGGATAACTTCGGTAAAAATAAGAAAAAAAAACTTAGAAAAGAAAACTAATACAACCACCACATTTGTGAACCTGTAAGCAACAATATATTTTTGTTTATTCAAGGGTTTAGGTACACTTTAAAGTAGACTTGTTACAACACAGTGGCAAGAATATGATTTAAGGGACGGATCACACCATGCCTGCATCTGAATCGCAGAGGAACATGCTGTGCAGTTCTGTGCGGTGCGATTACAACCCATTCATTTTTAATGGGCCAAAATCGCACCACACCAAAAGTAGTACATGCACTAATTTTTTTAATGCATTGCAGCCAGATCGCATGGTACAAAAGTACTATGCGATCCGGGCAGGGCAAGCCCACTGCATTTGCGATCTGCGTTTTGGGTGTCGTTAAATTTTCCTGACACTCTGCAAATGTAGTGCGTTTTACATGCGGTTTGAATCGCACAAGAACACATTGCGCATTCTTGTGCGATTCAGATGTGGGCATAGTGTAAATCGGCCCTAAAAATGCATAAAGTTTCTTCAGCAGATCCAGGAATTTGGGCAGCTGTGCATATAACGACATTTAAAGGAAAAGTCCACTTTGGCCTAGTCCTCTTTTGTTCAAGGTGTCACTAACAGTAGACTTTAGCAGGAGCACACTTAACTATGAAAGGAAAAGACAAGATTTGAATATAAATATTTATAAACTATTAAAAAAAAAAATCTCTAGATCTACTGATTTGTCATTGTTTTCACTCAAGGTGATCTCTGGTTTTGCATATTTCTTTTGTTGTATGCTTGATTTGAATTGCCCAGGTTTGTGACAGATTTTCTTTAACCACCTCACAACCACCCATGTAATTAAACTGTCAGTCGGGGCACCTTTTTGTTTTGAGAGGACATATATAAACATCCATCTTTGTAATGTGCATGAGTGCCAGATGCACTAACAATTCCTGTGATCAAATGGTCATTAGATGGCACGGATCAAAGGCAAAAAACAAAGAGCTAATCAGAGTGGCTTTGTTCCTTGTGATCCCTGTGCACCAATCACAGCAATCCCAAGTAATAAACACTGGCTATGTTCAGCAGCCAGTCCTTCTTCTTCTCACAACAGCTTGTCTGTGTAAGAAGAAGGAAACATTTTGTTCAGCCACATCTCTTGGGCAGCTGCAGAAAGAGGAAAGAAGGGCGGAAGTGGGAAAGCTGGTGCACTGGTACACCCTCTCTACCTACACAAAATGAGCCTGTCCAGAGCTTGCTGCTGAGGGGAGAAGAGAGCAGACACAACTGATGTTTGAGCCATTCCCCCTCCAGCATTTACACGTTATTATGACACCTCTACAGTGGGAAAAATATTTATTTGATCCCCTGCAGATTTTGTAAGTTTGCCCACTTACAAAGAAACGAAGGGTCTATAATTTTTGTCATAGGTGTATTCTAAATGATAGAGACAGAATACACTGTTCAACAAATTTTTATTTTTTGCCAGTTTTGGAAACAAAAGGATCCATTTCTTAATGAATTTCACATTCTGAGTTCAAATATAACAATGAAATTTGTCAATTGGCTCTAGTTTTTCTGTAAACGGAAAGTTTTCTATTATAGGCGTAATGACTACATAATGCACAATAATTATATAGATGTCTTTCCACAAATATAAAGCAAGTGATATTGACTACATAACAAAGCCTAAATGGCATAATATATTGCATAGGATTACCAAGAAAAATTATAGCCATAAGCTAAGTTGAATCATTTTAATACTTAGGATTCTCACTAGTTTTGTCTTCAGTTTGTGTCGGTTTTGCTTCTCTTGGCTTTTCTCTTGTATTCGAGGAAATGGCTATCTCTTACAACTGCACGTGACTACACGCTTCAGATTCTTCTTCACTTGACTCAACCACGAAGGATTCTGGTGCTTTAGGAATTGGTAGCCCCTCTCCATGAGGAACTGGACGTATTGCCGATGGAATATTTTGGATAGTGCACAGATAACTTTTTCTTCTTATTTAGCCCTTTTACAATTGGAGGCACCATACAAAAGTAACAATTACTAACATGATCTGTTGGCTCTCTCCAAATCATTGGCACAGCGAAAGGCATAGATGCTTTTTTCCATTCAACCATTGCTCCAGTGCCGTCCCACAAGAATTGCAGCATATATGTGGTGCCCAGCTCTTGTCCTGGTCTCCTATCTTGCAGCCAAAATACAAGTTGTAGGCTTTCTTAATCATTCCTGTTATCCTTCTTTTTTGTGAGATAAATGTTATTTCACCGCAGATATAGCAGAAATTATCTGCTTTATTCACACAAGTTCGAGGCATTACTGAGTAGCCTATATAAGCATAAAACGAAATGTAAAGACGCTGTCGAACTACAATCAGCTACAGATACTGCAGATTTTATGCAGTGAAGTGATGCAATTAAAGGCTAATATTGCATCATCTCAGTATACATGCAATTTTCTATTGGTCACCAGTATCAATTGCGCAATATGCAGCTGAAGTTGCATCATAATTTTGAATGGCTTACTTCATTAGATGGGTGAATATATCATGGAAACTAGAGCCAATCAACATTTTTTAGGGTCATTTTCGTTTTCAGCACCCCAAAGTTATGTAAGATTAGCTAATTTTATGCCCAAAACTTTTTACCTGTTGAACAGTGATATCAGCTAAAAATCCAGAAAAACAACATGATACAAATGTTATAAAATGAGTTGCAGTTCAGTGAGTAAAATAATTATTTGATCCCCTACTAACCAACAGTAATTTAGCTCCCACAGACTGGCTATGCGCTCATGTGGTACACGGATTAGCCCTATCAATTTAAGAAGGTGCTCCTAACGACAACTCGTTATGTGTATAATGGACACCTGTCCTCAGAATTTCTGTCTTGGGCACCACCATGGACAAGACCAAAGAACTGTCAAAGGATGTAATGCAGGCCATAGATGGGGAGAAAAACTGCAGATTTTTCTTTTAAAAAACGAAAAATCGGTTGTTCAAGTGGCCGACGTTACCATCAATGGTAAAAAAAAATCGGCCGATTTTCTACCCGTCTAGAGCCGGCAAAAAGTG